CACAAGTTCACCTGACAAAGTCAATATAAATGACATCATCCTGATTGCTCTCAATGTAGGTTTTGTTTATTAACTTATAAATATTTTAAATCTGGAAGCTTTATTCATGAAAAGCATCTCATAGAATAAACTGGCTTTTAAGATAAGTAATATGGAGAACATCTTTCATTTTTATTGTCCATTTTAAGTTGCAGTAATGTTTGGTGAATTTGGTAATCTTGTTTCAGCCAGTTATTAGAAATATATGTTTCTTTTTACATTTGTTATACAGAATCCCATGAAAAAGGGAAAAAAATGCAGTTAAAACTCTTTCCCCAAAATCAGTTATAGATTTTTTATATTATAGATTTTCACATTTACAAAATCAGTTGCAGATTTTCACATTCACATTTACTGCTGTATAATAGCAGTAAAAAAATCATATTAATTAAAACATATAGCCATTTAATTAACATAGAAACTTAAGTTTTAGCTGTTTGACAGTTGTATTTATTATTTCAAAATAACTTTTCCTGTTAATAAAAGTAATATATGTTGTAGAATACTTCAGAAAATACAGCAAAGAAAAATAAAATCAAAGCCACAAATAATTACTGTTAAGGTTTTTGGTATGTATTTCCTTCTGGTCTCTCGCTTTACACCCATCTGTATAGCTATATCTTTTCTATAATTGGGATTGACTTTTGATTTTTTTGAAGAGTTACTAAAATTGTTTGAAATGTAGATATAAATAAATGAATATTCTCTTGTCAGTCTTGCAGTTACCCCAGTTAGATTTTTTCTCTTACTACCTTTACAATAACAATCTACTCACAAATTTATATACTATGATATATAATGAAATTCATAAGAGAATTGCTGTCTTGACAGATCCATCATATCACTGCAAAATAGGTATAAGATAAAGCAGAAACAGGCAACTAATAAAGAACATTTAAGATATAAGTAAATATATAACTGCATTTAGCTTATTTGAGTTACTTAAATTTATATACAGTGAAAGTTAGGATTAAACAGATAAAATTTCTATTTTAAAATCTGTCAGTTTTCAGCTTCTTTGAATTTTGTCAGTAAGACTAACAATATGATTTTTTTAAAAGCAAGCATTAGAAATCATCCATGTCATCCTCTGTGACTATAAATGAAAGTATTCCCTAGACACTTTTTCTTTGACTTGTACCCAAATTAGTGAATTCTACTTTCAAAGAATGTTGTAAATAATTCTTATTTCTTCATTAAAAAAGAACCCTAAACATGAAAGGGATTCTGTAACAATCTTATGCTTTTCTTAGTTTTTCTTATTTACTTAGGTAAGTAACAATGAACTATTTATAAAGGGGTATGAAACTTTAAAATAAATCAAGATGAAGTATTTGTCCTGTGTACATAAGAGGTTCATGATGAACCATTATCTCAATCAATTAATTTGTCTTTCTGATATTCTTGGAAATATGTAGTTGAATACTCTAATCCAAGCTATCATGCCCTTTAATCATGCAAAAAAAAAAACTTTAATTAGGATGAAATCTACACCAGACAAGTAAACTTCTTTTCAAGTTTATCACCTTTAAATAAAATCAGGCATTTATAGTATTTCTGTTGAATTTTTTTTTAGCTTTTGAGTGCTTGCAGGATATTAATCACTAGTTGAGAATGACTTGTGTTACTGATTCCTACTATATACAACTTATTACATACATATTGGGAGAATAAGCCGTGCACAAGCATTCTTGTTTATGTTCTTTTCCTCTTGTGGGCGACACACTGAGCTTGTTCCTTTATCCAGCAGTGAACAATGCAACAATATATAGAGAGGTTTCCCCTACTATCTGAAGGTAGTGTTCCTATGAAATCTTTTGTAAGCCAAAATGGTATAGAGCAAAGAAGCAGTTACCGTTAATTTATATGGAAAATTTTTTTAGTGTTCCCAGACCCAGACAATAACCTCTCTTAGGCTTTTCTGATACCTTAGGACACATTTTGCTAACGCATGCTTAAAATAAATTGAGATAAAGCACAAATGCTCACAGATACAGTTCAAAATTATGATAGCTTGATGCTGCAATGCTAGTGTAGTTCCCAGGGAAGGAGCTTGGCCATGCCACTCAGTGCTCAGGATGCACACTGCCTCTGTGATGGCTCCCTGCAAAATAAATACGAAATGCTTTTTTTGCTTTCTGCCTTTCTTTGCAAAAGTGAAAATCCTTCAAATATCTATCAGTGAAAACAGGTACTAATGTAGGCACTTCTGTAAAAAAGAAGTGGTATAATGCAAATTCTCGAAAAGCAGGGGATAACTGTACAGTGTTTTCTCCCCAGGGAGGTCCACTGGACACTAGCACCCAAGGCTTCTATTAGACTGCACTTGAGGATATTCTCTGCCTAACATGAAACACAATTCTAGATTCCTCCCCGCAAAAAAGCAGTTGTCATATTAGTTAACTACAGTTTTCAGTGAATCAAAGTTTAGGATTTTAGTCTAGTGCTCATTTCTACTTTATATTGATGCCTCATTTTAGTTTAAATTAAATTTTATAACTGATAAAAAACAAAATGAGATATCATGGTATATCATGAAATTTATGTATATACATTGAACAACACAGGGTTGAACTACACAGGTCCACTTATTTACATGGAGATTTTTTTTCAACAAATACATTGGAAAAGTTTTTGGAGATTTGCAACAATTTGAGAATACATCTCTCTATCTTTATTTTAAGAATACTGTACATAATACATACACAAAATATGTGTTAATTGACTGTTTATGTTATTGGTAATGCTTCCAGTCAACAATAGGCTACTGGTAGTTAAGTTTTGGGGGAGTCAAAAGTTATGCATAGAGTTTTAAATACATGAGGGGTCAGCATTTCTAATCCCAGTGTTCTTCAAGGATCAACTGTATTCTGTTTCTCATACATATTTAAATATGTCAGCTTTTGAGTGACTTCAAAATAATGCCTATGTTTTTATGAGCTGTTAGTTGTATTATTGACTTAGTGGTTATACATGTTCAGATGGCAGCAAAATGTGCATGTTTTATATTCACTAAAAACAAACATGATAGCTAACATTCATTAAATGCTTACTTTTTGTAATTCATTGTGCTAGGTGCTTCACATGTATTAATATTTAATGTTGAGTCCAAATACAGGAAAGCCTAGTATAAGAAAGTATTTTTTTCCCATATGCTACTCAGTATTTTCAAAGTGAAAAGGAATGCACCTTGAAGTATGGTTCATACTTTTTTCACTCTCTTATTGGAGGCTGCAAAAGGATAAATCTAAAAAAGCATTGTTACCCAAGTACTTGGATTTAGGGTTCAGTTTGCCTGGCAGTTCTATTTGGTGAATTTTAGTTGAGGACTAGTGTAGTTCCCAGGGAAGGAGCTTGGCCATGCCACTCAGTGCTCAGGATGCACACTGCCTCTGTGATGGCTCCCTGCAAAATAAATACAGAATGCTTTTTTTGCTTTCTGCCTTTCTTTGCAAAAGTGAAAATCCTCTTCAAATATCTATCAGTGAAAACAGGTACTAATGTAGGTACTTCTGTAAAAAAGAAGTGGTATGATGCAAATTCTCGAAAAGCAGGGGATAACCGTACAGTGTTTTCTCCCCAGGGAGGTCCATTGGACGCTAGCACCCAAGGCTTCTATTAGACTGCACTTGAGGATATTCTCTACCTAACATGAAACACAATTCTTGCATTACATTGAGAAGTTATGAATCATGGTTGTAAAAGACTGGTAATATCAGGGGGGGTTGTATAACTTACATGCCTGTTTCTTAAGCTTATCACATATGGATATTTCACTAACAGGATATTCTATTATTGTAGGTGGTCAAAGAAGACAATCCTACTTCTCTATATGTATTCATTTCATATTACAATAATTTTAATCATCTAGTGTTTTTTCCTTAGGTCCAACACAAATTTCTCCTTTCTAATTTATGTGATTAAATGAACTCTAAGTCTGCTTTCTTTTATTTTGTTCATAAGGTGATGAAGAGCTACTATTCACTATATTTTAAGAAATAATAATACAATAAAAATATAGTTACTAATGTAGTCTTAAAGTCTCAGTCACCAAGGTGATTTTTTAGGTTAAAGAATTAGGCATTTTTCATGAGTATTGATAGTTTTCCTCTGAACAAATTTCTTATCATTCCTTTAATTTTCATTTCCTAAAGATGACAAAAACCCTTAAAAGTCCTGCTTTTAAAAATGTGAACTGTGTAGTTGAAGTTTTGTTTTTATGTCAGAAATGCTCTAACTTTAGGTTAGTTCTTTAGCTTTCCTTTTTACGTTTTGCTTTGGTTTGCTGAGTAATATGTACCTCTGAATTTTCTTATAGTCGTTTGTTAATCAACTTTGATTTCTGTAATTTGTTTAAGCAAATAAAATAGATTTTTACAGCAATAAAGTCTTACTATAACTTCTTGCTATTGCAGTAGTAGTACTCCTTAGGATACTTGAGATTACATACCTTTGCTATGTTTTGGGTACCACAGCATATAGAGTATGTCTTCATGTTTGCTTGTTAAGGTTATGGAGGACTCAGTTGTCATAAATACATTCTGTTTATATAAAAGTAGTCATTTAGTTTTGGATTGTGGCATTAATTTTTAGTAAGACTATAGTTTAAATAAAATCAAAGTCTTAGAGTTTAATAGAGAAGATTTAGTAAGTTAAAAGGTTACTTAAAGAAATATGAGCAGAATTAAGGCCTTACGTATTACTGCTCCACTTACTGTGCACTTTAAACAGTGTATGTATGGAATGGAGTTATTCAAAAAGATTGATTGTATGTATAGATCTCTAATCATCCAAAAGATATTTGTTTAAATTTTGTTCCACAAACCTTAAGTAATTTCATCTTTTATTTGTAAGAGTAGATTTAGATTTACTTTTCTCTGTAATTATATTTTAATAATAATATTTTTATTTTAGACAGACTTGAGAACAATTGGCAAGAAATTTCTCCCCAGTGACATCAATGGTGGAAAAGTAGAAAAGGTAAAAAAAAAAACATTAACTTCCTAAATTATGGTAACTATAATAAATATGAACATCTACTAAATTACTGGAATCATTTTTCATCAATAAAGACTGTAATTTCAAAATAGTTGGGAGGTGAAGAGGTCACAGAGTCCATTGTTATAGTGACTTCTTGTACACAAGGAAAATTACTAAGACTTAAACTTTAAACTTTTGATGCTTTTCAACATTAAAAAAAAGAAAACCTTTTCTTTTAGAAGTTATAATTATGGCACACTTATATGTTAGACTTACCAGATATTATTGGAACTTAGTACAAAGACCTGTTTGTACATTTTTATTTTAGTTTCCTGTTACCGTGTTTATTTAATGAATTTATTAACATAAAAGTATAAGATTATGAGAGAATATTAAGTGCAAAGTCATGCATTTGAATTGGTTAATGTTGTCATTTTGCATTATATATAATATATATTCATGTTACAAATTTTTTTCAGTGATCCTTTAAAATACAAGGATTTAATTTTTAGATATCAACTAGACATTCTTTTACTTCTTATTAATTTATATTCCATTTCTTCTTTTTATTTGGAAATACATGTAAATCACATCAGCCAATAACTTTATACATACTATTAGTCACTTTTTGAACTGTTAAGGAATATCATTATCTATAATTAAATAAATACTTTCAGCGTGTATGTTTTGTGTTTGAATAGATATTCTTATCATTTTAACACTCAGATATTTAAAATAGTTACCACATCTTCAGATATTTTAAATTTTAGATAATTTTAAAAGGGCTATACTATAATAGCATTTTCCACATTTTCTAAATTAGTCAGTTTAGCTGGAGAGAACCATGAGAGTTTCTAATCTACTCTGTTTTTAAGATAGATACTCAGAGATGTTCTATAAACTCAGCAATTCATTTTAATGTTTTATAACACTCTGTGCCAGCAAACTTTAATTATATTTTAACCTACATTTCTTATGCTGCAACTTAAAGTCCATAATGTCTTTTTATCTCCCCCCAGGGGAAATGGAGAACATCTGGTTTCCTTCCCTTGTGAATAATTCTTCATATACTTAAAGACTTGTAAATGTCACTGCTACAGGTTTCTATTTGGGAAAGCCAAATATCTTGGTTCCTTTGTTTATTCTCAGTCTTAAGCTTTTCATTTGACTTCATTGTTCTTAGAGCACTCTCCGGTTTCTTTACATTTCTTTTTTTGGTGGTGGTAGTAGTTCTCAGACTTAAGTCTTCACCAGAATCACTCTGAGGCCTGGCTGAAACACACACAGATTACCAGCCCCCATCTGTGCACCGCCCCCACCCCTAAGTTTCTGAGTCCATCGAATGGCGATAGAGCCTGGTAATTTGCATTTTGAACAAGTTTCTATGGGATATTGATTCTGCTGGTCCAGAAACATACTTAGAAAATGTAACAGTATAGCCTCCTGCAGGGCAGCAATCTTGGACAGGTCTGATGAATGCAACAATTCTTTACAGGAAAAGTAACATCAAAGCACTGTCTGTGTATCCTTACACAAGTTTAAGAAAATTTTGAAACTTTCTGGATTACTGGTTTTCCATTTAAGAGAACCCACATCTACTGTATTAGTTCAAGAGGATGGTGCTGATGAGAATTTGTGTCCTCCACCTTCTCAGAGCATTTTTGTTTCAAAATGTTTGCACATTATTCTCTTTAAGATTTCCTTTGAATGTATCCAACGATAAAAACAACTCAAAATCCTTAGATATAGAATTTTTCTGTGCCAAATTTTATATTTTAAAATACTCTTAATACTAAAATATTCTTAATGCTAATGTGATTTTAGTTTATACATAAAATGAGAAGATATAAAATAAGCCCTTTCGCATGAAGCAGAAATTGAGCTGGATACTCCCTTTCTGCACTTCCTTTATGATTATATTTTTCCTTTCATTACCTATTTCTAATACCAAATGTAATTCTCTTCACAGTATCAATGAAGATGTTTTGAAAAACAATTCTAATAGAAATTTCAAAAGCTAACTCATAGAAATGGCATATTTTATATTTGCCTTTAGTTAAAACTCCATATATTATATAAAAATATAACTATTTTTAAGCTAAAGTAAATGTTTAAGTATATTTTTGACATGAATTATTTGTGCTTCTTCATAAAATAAGACTAATGCAAGAAAGTACTTTGTTCTGCCTTTATTGAAATGTTTATTAACAATCATTTTACCATTTTAATGGTTGCCGAATCATGAAGACATGGCTACAGTCACTAAAAAATAACTTTTATAGTTCTTGTTTAAAACACATTTTGCTTTAATCCATTCATTAAATAATGGGCAATATTTAGTAAGCAGTGCATTTGAATAAATAATCTATTCCTTGAATATGTCAGATTTTGGTATAAAATATTTCTAGTTTTCTTTTGTATTAAAATAGAATGAATGAAAGAAAGAAATAGCTAGGTCACCTAGTGATTTTCCAAATGGATCATACTAGAAACTAATTTTCTAAAAATTAATGTAGACAAAAACTTAAAATATGAGGTAGTCTAGCTGTTCCAGGGAGCTGAGGCATGCTTGTGATGTGTTTCAGAAAGGGTGTCCAGGAAGCAGATAAAATGATAAGGGCTGGAAAAATATACATTTTAGAATGATTCCTGCTTTTTTAGGACACCTTAAAATCCTGAGTCTCCTGCTTATTAGGTTTTGTGACTTCTGGTAAGTTATTTAATCTTGCTACAGTTTAATTGCCTTATCATTCAACTATTATTCCCCTTATGACATTAAAGAATTAAATAAAATAGTGCACATAAAAGTACTAAACTTAGTGCAATGCATCTGGCAAGCTTGGAGTATTATGAGCAATTTAGGATGATACTTTTGTCCTGGAGATCTAAAAATGCATCTTACTAACATCTATTGGGGATCAAAGTCATGAAAAAAAGAAAACTACTTACTGTAAAACTGTTCAATATTTTTCACATTCTTTCCTAAGCTTGATATTTTGCTGTAGTTATTTTCATGGCTTTAGACTGTGAACTAAGGTGTACAAGTTAATTATAAAATATAGGTTAATATAAAAACACTGTTCAGTCCAGCTATGCAATAATCTTATACTTTACTGTGGAACCAACAGAAATGGGTTTCAGTTCTGTATTTATTTTTTCCACCCAAGTTTTAGAACTGACAGGTTGTATATGCCTTTTAAATATGAAACAGTGATTTAAAGACCTCATTTTCCAAATGTGACCGTCTCAAAGCTTCAGCAATAACATCATCAACCACAAGATGGCTTCACTGCCTTATAAATTCATAGTGAATGGCCTCACACTTAGACGGTCTAGAAATTAGATACTTTTAAAATAATTGGAAAGAGTTTCAAGTTTAAATATAAATAGAATTTTATCATGAAACATGATAAAATATATTAATTTATTCTGTATGAAATAATATAATTTACCAGTATTCCTTTTAGTAAGTTATTAAAATTGAACAGGTGCTTTTATTTTTCAGAATAATGGATTACTGAAACCCTGATTTTACATGTTTTATTTACAAGTGCTTATTGGTAATTATTTATAGGACTTCTGTGAACTTTAAAAATGGCTTCACACAACAATATGTATTTAGACAGATATTCTTCTGATAATTAAAAACAAACTGTTAGCCTTACTTTTTTTGTCTTTTTATTCAAATTCTGTGAGAGAACAAAAAACTGGAGATGAAGGACAGAGATACGGAAATACGCAAATGACACATTCTAAGTATTACTTTTGACTAGGAGTCCCCCAGTGCTTACCTTGTATTTCATTTGCTATAATTCCTCCAAATGATTAAGAGAAATTATGTCTGTGCTGTTACTTCGATGTATAAATTGAAGCTTTTTACAAGAAATCCCAAGTTTGGGAAAAACCTAGTAAATATATTGGCTATTTCTCAATTAATAGGCATTTATATTACCCTGTGTTTAAAATTTCCAAGCGATAGGAACTTTTAGATCTTCTGGTAAATATACTACTGTATTTATGATTCAGAAAGTTTTTCTTTTATTATCATTTATTGGTTTTTAATTTTTTTTATTTAAGTATTGTTGATATACAATCTTATATTGGTTTTCAAATATACAACACAGTAGTTCAACAGTTAATCATATTATTAAATCCTTACTCCATCTAGTGCAGTTACTATCTGTAAACATGGAAAGATATTACAGAATCACTGACTATATTCTCCGTGCTGTACTACTATCCCTGTGACCAATTTATGTTATGATTAAGAATTTTTGTGCCCATTTATTCCCCTTACCCTCTCTACACCCAACCCCAAGTACTCCCCCATGGTAACCACTAATCACTTCTCAGTGTCTATGAGTTTACTGCTGTTTTGTTCATCTGTTTTGCTTTGTTTTTATACTCCACAAATAAGTCAAGTAATATGGTGTTTGTCTTTCTTCCCCTGTTATTTCACTGAGCATAATACTCTCTAGATCAATCCTTGTTGTGAATGGCAGGATTTCTTTTCTTTTTGAGTCTGAATAATATTCCATTGTATGTATGTACCACCTCTTGTTTATCCATTCATCTACTGATGGACACTTAGGTTGTTTCCATATCTTGGCTATTGCAAATAGTGCAGTGATAAACATAGGAGTGCATATGTCTTTTCGAATTAGGGATTTTGTTGTCTTCTGGTAAATTCCTAGGAGTAGAACTACTGGGCCAAATGGTATTTCTGTTTTTAGTTTTTTGAGGCACCTCCATATTGCTTTCCACAATGGTTGAACTAGTTGACATTCCTAACAACAGTGTCAGAGGGTTTCTATTTCTCCACATCCTCACCAACACTTATTATATTTTGTCTTTTGGGTAGTGGCTTGACAAACAGGTGTTTGTCTTGATTTGCATTTCCCTGATGATTAGTGATGTGGAGCATCTTTTCATGTGCCTATTGGCCAACCATATTTCTTCTTTGAAGAAGTGTCTGTTCAGGTCCTCTGCCCATTTTTAAA